CAACACAACTCACCACAGTGCACCATACCTGGATCATAATCACCCCCTCTACAACCAGAGGCATGGACTCCCCAGCGACCCCCACGAACTTCTCGCCGCTTCTCAGTCTGGCACCCCGTAATGAACCATGCTATACAAAAGGTAAAGCTGTTGCCCACGCTGGCTTGTAGCTGGTACGGTTAAGTTTCACAACAGTAGCTCGCGAACCGATCCTTAATTGTCATGAGCACGACCTTCAAAACCATGTGCTCACAACCCACCATTAATCATATTTTAATTATCAATTAATTATCATAACACGATTGACCATCGTGAGCTACCATTAAATATTACCATAAGTAATAATGTAGTATATATGATTCATCCCATTAATGAGCTAATGTTTCTAAGCATGGCTAAGCAATTATATATATATATATATATATATATATATATATATATATATATATATATATATATATATATATATATATATATATATATAGCATTTAGCTGAACCAATCCAATGTGTAAGGTCCAAGCTAATCAAATTATAACCCAGAGGAAAATAAAGTCATCTTCGGCCATAATCAACTGGGAAGGCTCACCACCCGATGACATTCGAAAATAATGCATACGTTGAAATAAAACAATAGCTTTAAATGGGTTCAACATGCTCAAAGGGTTGTTTGGGATCTGTGTGACTTGCCTTGAGCTTCCGCAAACACTTCCGAACCTTCCTTAACGAAAACGCTCTCCTCCGGAACGTCGGAAACTAAAGCGAAAGAACAAAATCAACAAAACAGTACAAAAACAAGCATAACCAGTACATGTAGATATTTTTAACATGTAGATCTCGATTTTAGATGAATTTAGCAACTTGAACCACTCGAATCTGAGTTACGATGATTTAGTTATGAATTTCCGAAGTTTAATCGATTTTCATCTAATAAAGAAAACTAAGAATAGGGATTAATGATGTCATCGCTGACATCATCAATGTCGACTCGACATCAGCGACGACCTCGCCGGCGCTAGAAGACTCGGCCGGACTTTTGGAGGGTACCTACGCGTAGAGGAGAACAACGCGATCTCACCGGTACTAACCAATGCGACGAACGACGACGGATGACGACCGGCGACGAGCTTGTGCGGCGGCGGCGGTTCGGTGGACGGCGGCGGCGGCTCTCCGGTGACCGGTGGCGACGGCGAAGGGGCGGCGGAGCTTCTACTCCACCGCGCGCATCTAACGGCGGCGACGGGAGGCGGCCGTGACGACGCAAGCGGCGGCGTGAGGCGGCTGTTCGCCGGCCGGCGACGGCGGCGGTTTGGGTGGCGCGGCGGCGGCACTACGGGGCACGAGAGAGCTCGGGAGATGGGTCAAACGAAAGAGGGCGACTAGGGGATGCTATTTATAGGCTTGGATTGAAGAGATCGGACTCCAACCGAGAGGATTTGAGCCGGAAAAACCGAGGGTTAGTTGGAGAGATAAACTCGAAAACGAATCCAATTTCGCGTCGAATTCAAAGGGATAAAGTCGGATTTTTGGGGGAAGAGATAGAGGAGGATAAGAGGAATATTTCCCCTCAACTAATTTTGCAAACGGAGCACGGGATGCGGCGGATTTGGTGGAGGAAGCGGCGGTTGCACAGGTACAGGACGGCTGGCTCGGGCTCTGTCCAAGCTTGAAGACGACATTGTAGCAGGGAGACGAATTAGACTTTTCGTCTTGGGCTGGCTGAAAACAAAGCAAAGAAAGAAAGAGGAGGAGCTCGGCTGGGCCGACTTGGGCTGCACAGCACGCGCGCGAGGGAGAGACATGTTGGGCTGAAATCAGCCCAACGGCTTAGGAGAGGATTTAAAAACTTTTTCCAATTAAAATAATCACTGAAATGATCTTTGAATTGTTAAAAATACTTCCAATGCTCAAATAGTTTCAAGAAAAATCCTGAAAATACTTGGACACTCAAAGTACTTAAAAAAATTATAATCAGACCATTTAATGATTAATTTAATATGTGGATAATTACTGAAATGTTCTTTGTAGGGTTAAAATTAGGAATTGAGTTCCGAAAAATCCGAGAATATTCCAGAGAGTATAATTAACCATGGAGAATTTAATAAAAATTAAATCCATCCATGCTTTATATTTAGGAAATTTTATTTCCCACATTTAACTTCACTTATAAATTAATGAACATTTAATATAAATTCTAATAATAATTTATTAAATAATTTTTTAAATCCTAAAACGAAAATCAGGATGTGACAACACCTTTGTTTTTACGACATTTGGGGCAAGAAAGCACTTCATTGTTTTTCACAACATCTTCCATGTACTCAACACGACCTAAAGCATCTTTTAGTTTCATCTTATTCAAATTACATGTTGAGCAATCCAAAACAACATGAGGTTGTTTTAACTTTTTAGCAGAAATCATGTTAAACATCAAACTAGCATGAAAGGCAATTTGATATTTTTGCAACAACTTTTTAGTTAAAAACAACTCATCCAAAGTGCGTGTGTGCAAAGCAAAACTACAAGCAAGAGAAGATCTATTTTTCAAATCATGTGCAGCATTAACATCTCTAATTTTTGAAATCTCATTCATTAAAACCTCACAATTTTCACAATCATCATCATTAGGAATAAGATATTTTAATCTATCAATTTCAGATTTAAGAGATTCAATGATAAATTCCTGTTTTCTATACATCTTCTCACACTTCTTATTTTTTGCACTCAAAATAGTAATAGCTTCCTCAAAAGCACTCACCTCATTGTCTTCATACTCTGTGTCAGATTCACCACGCGCCATGAAGCAAACATCGGAGACGTTCTTTCCCTTGTCATCATCTCCACTTTCACCATCTACATTACTTAGTGGCTCGAAGGGGGCACAAACTTTTTGAAAAGCCTTCCTAAGATTCTCCATCTTCCTCCCTTGGTAAGAACCCTTCGACTTGTTGTTGTTGGTCTTCTCACCATCCTTGTCTTCTCTTTTGCCTCTCCCAAGCTTAGGACAATGCGAACGAAGATGATCAATTGAACTACATTCAAAGCAACAATTTGGACCACCTCTTTTCCTGTTCCTGGCATTATTCATAGCTCGAGCAATTCTGTTAGCAACCAAAGCCAAATCCTCCTCCTCGATTTGTTCGAGTTGATCATCGGATGTGGCATTAAAAATAGCAAGAAAAGACGACTTAGATGAAGAGGCATCAACATCCAAAGAGGAGGAAGAAGAAACCAAAGCACTCGATTTAGAATCAACTGCGAGAAAGAACATTCATCTCATGTGTTTTCAATTTTGTATAAAGTGAATCCAAAGTCAAAGTAGACATGTTAACAGACTCCTGAATAGATGTAACTTTCATCTCCCAAATAGACATGTCGAGACCATTCAAAAAGTGACGAGAAATCTCAGATTGTGGATAATTAGCATCATAAGAAGAATCAACAGATCTAAGATTACTCAAAATTTTATTAAACCTAAAAAGATAGTCATCCAAAGCTTCTCTAGGTTTCATCTCAAATTTAATGTACTCCTTTTTAAAAAGATCTCGACGAAGCTCTTTAATGTTATTTGTTCCTTGATGAAAATTACTCAAAGCAACCCAAATCTCATGAGCAGTTTGAAGATGAGCAACACGATCATAATCCGAACGAGAAATACCACTCAAAAGAATGTTGCGAGCTTTGCAATTTTGTTCAAAAGCAGTTTTTTCAGCAGCAGTATTAATAGCTTCAGGAATCACATAAGCATGAGAAACTTTTCTCCAAATATCATAATCTTCAGCCATAATATAAGATTGCATCCTACTACACCAATGAGAAAAATCCGTTCCATCGAAAACATGAGGCTTAGTTGAAAACCTAGCGGGAGTAGCCATGGCAAAAACTCTAGATCGATAAAAATCCAAAGAAGAAAACAAGGCTCTGATACCACTTGTAGGATCGAATCACAAGAACTAAGCCAACCAGAGGGGGGGTGAATGGTTGGTATACCCAAAAACCGAAAACTTTTAGCGGAAATAAAAGTTACCCTCGAAATCGATGGATCGCGGTCTGACTGAAGTAGTTGCGTCGGTCTGACCGCCTGATGAATGTCGGTCTGACCGATGTAGATCGATCGGTCGAATCGCCGAAAACGCCTGCCACCAACTCCTGTCGCCGCCGGTCTGACCGCCGTGTGCCCACCGGTCGGACCGCCGCGATGCCGCCGGTCTGACCGCCGGTGCGCCGCCGGTTAGACCGCCGAAACCCAGTGAACCACAAATCGAAGAACTCTTAAAGTAGATAACGACTTTATTACTTCTCTCTGTGTTTACAAAGTGCACCAATAGCACTCCTTACAAAAATTTTGACTAAACTCGAAACCCTAACTCAAAACTCAACTCTATTGCTCTCTAAAACGATACCGGGAAGCCTCACGCTCCCCCTCTATTTATACATGAGGTAGACAGCCTAAAGCCACGAACCAAACTCATACTAGGAGTCCTAAACACCTTAGGAAACCCACTAGTACAAGAAAGAAACTTTACATAACCAATCGTACCAAATTTGGACTCCTTCCAAATTCAACTTCGCATCCTATACGCACACAATAACTCCATCGTATGCCATATGGAATCTCCATCAACCACGTGCATCAACTCTAGCCTAAGTATCCCGCATGATCTCTGACCACAACGGACGTCGTCTTATCCCCAAGCCGACTCCCGGTCCATCACCGCAAATACTCTCCCGAGACATTGAGTCACCTACACATGGAACAAACAAAGAAACCATATTCCGAGACCAAGCTATCTCCAACTTGATTCATTAGCAGCAAACAATAGTATTACATACGTATAAACTCGGATATCCAAATAAACAACCCGAAACCGAAACCGACACAGTGTCGGCCGGTCAGACCGCGGGCTGCACCGGTCTGACCGCGCATTACACGCCGGTCTGACCGGCTACTAGAGCCCGGTCTGACCGGTCACACAAAATGATAAAATCCTGCGATCCCCTGTAAATCTAATCATCTCCAAAACCACTTTGTGAATAAATTCCAAATAACAAAACCAATAATCTCCAATGCCCAATTGTTCATCATAGAATAATAATTGATTTTACAAGATAGACTCTCTCAAAGGTCCTCCCCATCTTCTTCTCCCACAGGGAAACGAGATCGTTCATTGACAGGGCATTCTCTGGTGGCCTTATATGCAGGACCTTGTTCAGCATCCTTGGATCATCCACTCCTTTGATGGTAAACGTTGCAATGTCCTCCTCGTCGACAAATATTGCTGAAACATTTCGCAAAGAACGAAGGCCGGCCATAGTTCAGTGCATCTTTTTTTTTTTAAAAAAAAAGTTTGTGAATATCCATGCAGAAATGTTGATCAATGATCAATACCAGCTCTGAAGTAGCTAATCAGTACTCCCTCCGTCCTAAAAAGACTCAATTCTTGAGTTTCCGTGTCTAACGTTTGACCGTCCGTCTTATATGAAATTTTTTTATGATTAGTATTTTCATTATTGATAGATGATAAAACATGAATAATACTTTATGCATGGCTTATCTTTTTAAATTTTTTTCTTATTTTTTCAAAGAAGACGGACGGTCAAACGTTAGACATTGAAACTTAGGAATTGAGTTTTTTTTGGGACGGAGGGAGTATATAACTAGCCATATAGGTGCGCTTTGCGTGCCTTTTGATTCTATTTAAGACTTCTGTGTATGGTCTATTAGTTTACATTAGCTTTTAAGAAGGTTCTGATATAAGTTAATTTGTTTACAAAGTATGGATTGTAAGAGAAATCACTAGAAGCCACCTTTGTTCCCTCTCTTTGAATCATATGCTTAATTAGGAGGAGATACAGAAACCTCTGGAAATTTGGTTTTTTAATACATGCACTCTTTCGATCCGATGACCATTGTTTATCCGAACTCTTCATCGACGGCTAATATATTTTTGATGATATGGCACATCCTCGTGCAAGAAAGCTTACTGCTTTCACTATTATAATATAAGATAAGATAAGTTAAGATTAGTCTGATTTTGCTTTTTTCCTTTAAAATGTTTGATTTTGCTCTTGTGGAAACAAAATCCATTGTCTTTTTTTTTTGGCAAGCGTGCATGAGAACTATGCATCATTTTACATTAAAAATTATTTTCTCTCGAAATCCATGATGAAAAAATCCTTACTATTTGGCTTCTGCGACAAAAAAAAAGAAGAACAAGAAAATACTCCAGAAAGAAAAAAATGTTATTGAGAAATTACTTTGAGGTAAATATATTTTATATTAAAAATTTTACTAATTATAAGCACCAAATTTTACATTATAAAATATAATATCTCTAGGCTCTTTAAGAATGGTAAATTTACCTCAGCGCTGCATGCATCTACACACATTCATTGTGATGTTACCGAAAAATTAAGGGCCTGTTCACTTTGATGTCATTTTCAACCTTACCAAGTTTTGGTAAAGTTAAAAAAAAGTGACTACATTTAGTTTGCTGTCAAATTTTAGTAACTATATAAGAAATCCTGCCAAAATTTTGGCAAGTTACCAAAATTTTGGTATAATTACCAAAATTTAGATAATACTAAAATTTGGTATACTAAAATTTGGTAAGTTTTTTTTGGCATCAAAGTGAACAGGCCCTAACTGAAGATTTGTTACTCCGTTTTCTTTTTACCTTTTGGTGTTGCCGTCTCCCAGAATGACAACCTTGTCAGCTGGGAGGCCGCTGGCTCCAGGCTGCACAAGCGTGGGGAGATAGTACCCCGCGAAAAAGTTGCAGCTGACGAACGTGTAGGGGATCCCCTCGGCCTCCACTGTTCGCCGGATCTGCGCCTCGACGTCGAAGGTCGCCTTCGCCGGCTCGACGATATGCGCGTGGTCGGCGTCGTTGCCGAAATCCGACGGGATGAACCTCTGCAACTTCCCAATTATTTACAGCTTGATCAGTGTATATATACAGAGCCAACGGAAGCAGGGGCAGCAGATCGACATGAGGGCGTTGACCTTGATGTTTCCGGCCTCCTTGATGGCGGCGATGATCTTCATCTGTTCGCCGACGTCATGGTAGCCGACGACCGATATCACGACGTCGGCGGCCCTCACCGCCTTCACCAGGAGATCGTGGTCGCCGATGTCGCCCTATATGTGTGTGTGATCGATTCGGATTTCGGACGACAAGCATGTTATTATTTCAGACGCAGAAACGATCGAACAGCAGCACGCGAGGTACGGTTGTACGCACCTGCAGGATGGTGACGCCGGCGTCCCTGAAGCTCTGCAGCAGCCGCGCCCTGGAGCTGCTTCCTCCGCCGCCCGTCGCCGGAGGAGGCGGCGCGGTGGCGCGCACGAGGGCGGAGGTCGGGTGGCCGGCGCGCGCGCTCGCGGCCACGATGAACTTGCCGAGGTGCCCCGTGCCGCCGATGATAAGGATCCTGCTCTTATTACGATCTCCAGGTTCCATCGGATTATCGATTCCGACGACGCGGCGACGACGGTGGCGGAGCTAAATTCAGCGCGACCGTGTGCGGGCGGGTGCACCTGCCGTTGGTGCTGGATCAGGATTATTCTATTTATTTTCTATAGTAGCAATGTTGCGGATGATTGTATGACTTTCTGATTGGGTATTTGTCATGGGAGAATTTATTTTATGCCACTACGAAATGTCCACTCTCATATATAATATACTAAGAAGATTATGCATCATTTGTTTTATCATTAAAAATGTACTTTAAGCCTGACTTAAATCTTTGTATCACTAGCAAAAGTATATGTACGGTGCAACATGCGAAGATAATTTTCACAATTGAGAAAAACCTCTGCCAATTTAAATGACAAACCGAAATAATACAAGCAAAACAAAGTTAGAAATCATATATAGGCCGTGTTTAGTTTCTTGTCAAATTCTTTTTTATGTATATGGACACACAAAGTATTAAATGTAGACTAATCACAAAACAAATCACAAAACAAATTACAGATTCCACCTGTAAACTGCGAGACGAATCTATTAATCCTAATTAATCTGTCATTAGCAAATGTTTACTGTAGCACCACATTGTCAAATCATGACACAATTAGGCTCAAAAGATTTGTCTCGCAATTTACATGCAAACTGTGCAATTGATTTTTTTCGTCCATATTTAATACTCCATACATGTGTCCAAACATTTGATGTGACGAATTTTTTAGAAGTTTAAAGGGAACTAAATACAGCCATAACATTGAATCTGGATGCGCTCGCATCATCGTCATGACACAAAGAATCCCCCATGTACACAATATCGGATGACTATTCCATAAGTTGTCCCATGTATATTTTGCTATACCTAATCAATCAAAGATTGTCGTTTTGATGATTCAATTAGTGAAAGTTTTTTAACTGTTGATGGAATGCATTTGCAAAGTAACAAACTTACCACATACACACCTTAAACGATCATAATTTCAAAAGGAAAATATTTATGAGGAGATAAATTCGGAAGAGAAAATATTTATGGTGCCACAATTTTACCAAAAATCATTTAACTACATTATAACTACATTGTAATTTATGAAAAATACATTGTAAATTTTAAGAATTACATTGTGATTTTAATACTTACATTGAAATCATGCTAATATTCACTGTATATGAGGTGTTGACTACAAATTATTAATTCATTGATTATATATCAAAATAGCGTTGACTAAGGAGCTAAGAAAAGAAAACGGAAAAGAGTAAGAAGCGAAGGGATACAGATGTATGTGATAGACAATATCGGACGTATGAATGCAAAGCCCATCAGGTGGCTGGTCCTAGATCTGATTGAAATCAGTTACGAATTGTGACAGCAGATTTTTACCAATACCAAAAGAGAGGAGGAAAAAAGAGAGGATATTGGAACAAGATGGCGAGGATCAGAATGATTGGGAGAAAAAGAAAAAAAGAGAGACAAAAAGCGATCGGGAGAGGGGCGCACGTGGCTTCAAGTGGAGGCGTATAAGATGGGGTGGCGGGATGATGTGAGCCGATTGGGTTGGGTTGGGCTGGGAGGGGGTGTATAATAGTCACGTCGAATTGGATAAAGGTGATACACAACCAACTCAAATATCGATGTCGTACCAAATTCCGACGGAAACATCTTCAATTTTTATAATACTAGAGATTACACTAAATATTTGAACAAGATAAGTGGTTTTGGTACGTCATCTGTGTTAGAGTTGGTTTTTGAGTTTGTCGTCCGTATCTAATTCGAGAGTCTAGAATAACTATTATACACCCCCCAGCCCAACCCAACCGAGCCACACCATCCCGCGCGCATCCACTAGGTGCCACGTGCTCCCCTCCCCTAATTGGCATCTTTTTGTTTCTCTGGTTTTCGTTTCTGTTTCTCCTTTTTCTTTCTCCTGATCATCATGATACTCTCCCGATCCTTCCTTGCATATTCCAAATTTCTATCCTCATAATATTTTCCTTTTGAAATTATAATTGTTATAAGGTGTGTATGCGAAAAATTTGTTACTTTGTAAATGCTTTTCATCTACTATAAGAAAACTTTCACTAATTGAATAATCAAAACTTCAATCTTTGGTCGATGAGGTATAGAAAAATACACATGTGTCAACTTATAGAATAACTACCCGATCAATTTGTGAGGCCACGAAAAGGTGTACACGAAAGATTTTTTGTGTGATGACGCATGAAGCTAGTGTAACCGGGCTTAATGCTATATATAATTTACGACTTTGTTTTGCCATTGTTTTGTTTCTCTTGTTTCAATTTTTTATTTAAATTGGCAGAGTTTTTATCAATCGTGAAAATTGTTTGTAGCGCACATATATTTTGACTAGTATGTTCAAAATTCAACAACATATAACAAACAAGGGATTACTAATTTTTAAACCTCCGTCTTATGCCACAACTCGGCTGTTGGACAAGGGAAAAGGAAAATTGAGTTAGGAGGAGTCTGAGATGGATCAACCGACTCTAGTTCAAGGAATAGGAGGGGTTCTGTTGGAGTCAAGTCGAGTCGGTTGATTGAACTGACTCTGAAGGATCTATTTTGGAAGTTCAGTAATGATGTTGTATCTTTCCGATTTCGTACATTTCCTATTTTGTGCCGAATACTTTCCGCATTTATCTTCCATATTTTCTTTTGTGCACATTACTCGTTTACTTGTCGGATTGACCTTTCAGCCGATCGTTTATGAATTGCAAGTCTTATAAAGTTCTTTATGGGTTTGTTGTTCGAGTTTACTTCACCTAGGTAAATTAGGAGTTCTTCCTTTTCATCAGAGGAAGAGTTTTAGTATAAGTCTTAGGTGTGGTGCCTAGGCTTTATATTTTCAAGAGTAAAATACATGGAGGACCACTTAACTTGTTTACGTGAATTGTGTAGGTCAATCTACTTTCAAAATGGACATCTAGATCACTAGTGTGAGTTAAGTCAATCAATTTGCCTTTCTAACTATCCACATGAGCATACCTTGTACACATGTTATACTATCTATGATTGAAAAATTTGCTATCAGACATGTGCAAAAAAACCGCATGTGTTTCTTATCCTTTCTCACAGTACTAGCACTGAGAAATATACAAAATTAGGGGAACCAAATCATTTCACTTGTGTCTATTTTGATGAACTTTTCAGTTCTCAGTCCTCTCTCTCGTTTGCCATCAAACCTGACAGCGGCGACAAGCTATGAATATAAACAACGACGAAGGCAAAATCCTAGGCAGTGGCGGCGACAAGCTATGAATATAAACAGCAACAGAGGCAAAATTCGAGGAGGCAGTGGCTAGGGTGTGCAACGGCTGCAGATGCCTATACATGTGCCACATTATGTGTACAAGGTGTGCTCACGTGGATAGTTAGCTAGCTAAATAACTCAGTTAACTAATCCTATGTGGCACGCTTCAGGGGCGGATTTAAGATCCGGCTAGCCTGGGCCGTTGCCCGGGCTCATGGGCCTGCATTAGTGGACCTACTACTTATTATCCATACTAGGAAAAAGTACACTGATGGTCCCTCAATTTGTCATCGAGATAAAAAACGCCCTGGAACCACAAAACCAGATATACAGGGTCCCTTAAGTATACAAAACCGGTCACCCGAGATTCTTCGGTGGTTTTGACCCTGGTTTTGGTCTACGTGGCGGCTGAGTCAGCGTGGGACCCACGTGAGCCCCACACGTCCACGTCAGCCTCCTCTCCCTCTTTCCCCTCTTCTCTCCCTTCCTCATCTCTCTCTCTCACTTCTCTGTCGAGACGAGCGGCGGCCGAGATTGACGAGATGAGTGGTTTCCAGCAGGGTGGATAGCGTGATGGGCGGCGAAGAGATGGGCAGCTGCCGGCGAGGAGGATGGCGCGACGAGCGGCGACCAGTGGGGAGAAGGGGCAGCGCGCGGTGGTCGGCAGAAGGACCTATGGAGAGATCGCCGTCATCATCAATATCTCGAACAGCGAGCCACCGGCGTCGTCGCTGCGGTGGCGGACGTCGCACACCATGCACAGGCGGCCGTCGAGCTCCCGCGAGCGTTTTCCCAACCGATATGGCCGGTCACATGGAAGCCAGGCGGCGGGGGGGAGCAAGGCGGCGACGCGGTGCCGGCGGCGACGACACGGGAGCAAGGGAGCAAGGCAGCGGAAGCAGCCTCCTCTCCGTGCGACGACGCGGGAGCAGGGGAGCAAGGCGGCGGCGGCAGCGTCCTCTCCGCGGCGCCGCTAGCCGACATGTGGTAAGGAGAGAAAGGCGGCAGCGGAGGGAGCAAGACAACGACGCGGCGGTGGCGGGAGAGCAAGGCGTCGGCGGCGGGACAATGGGAGGGCGCTCGCCTCACTCACTAGGCCGACCCTGTGCTTCCCCACTAGGCCGCTGCCGCCTCAGCCTCCTCCTCGCCGTGCTCACCTCACCAACGCCGCGCGCGAGGAGGCCCACGCCATCACATGCGCCGTGTCCCGCGTCATCGCCGCGCACCCTGGCCCGTTCCCTCGCCGCGCTCCCGACACGGCCGTGCTCCCAACGCCGCCTGCTTCCCCAACCTCTGCGACCTCGGCTTCTCCCTCATCGGCATCACCAACCAGGACATGCACAGACTCCAGCCTCCCCGCGCCTCATCGCCACCGACAAGCCGACGCCGACGCCGGCCTCCCCGCGCCTCGCCACCACCGACAAGCTGACCCCGTGCTTCCCCACTAGGCCGCCGACGCCGCCACCACCGTCGCTGTCGCGGCGCCGCCCTCATCCTCTCCCGCTCGCCCCGGCTAGGTTGCAGATAAGTGAAAGAGATATGAGGAAGGGAGAGAAGAGGGGAAAGAGAAGAGAGAGAGGAGGCTTACGTGGATTACCCTGACATGTGGGGTCCATGTGGGTCCCGCACTGACTCAGCAGCCACGTAGGATAAAACCCGGGTCAAAAACCGCCGAGGGACCTTAGGTGACCGGTTTTGATTAGTTAAGGGACGCGGGATATCTGGTTTTGCGGTTTGACGACAATTTTGTATCTCGATGACAAGTTGAGGGACCTTGGGTGTACTTTTTCCTCCATACTATTCCACAGAGAAAACCACCTCCCCTCCCAAGCAATGAGTGAATGAGGCCCACGTATTTAGCGCCAAGCCCAC